CTGCTGCAGGCAGGAGGAAGCGTTTCCTCAGTCTCCCTTCCCCCCAGTGCTCAGTCTGCTGCAGGCAGGAGGAAGCGTTTCCTCAGTCTCCCCTCCCCCCAGTGATCAGTCTGCTGCAGGCAGGAGGAAGCGTTTCCTCAGTCTATCTCCCCCCAGTGATAAGTCTGCTGCAGGCAGGAGGAAGAATTTCCTCAGTCTCCCCTCCCCCGTATATTATAGCTTTGTATCAAGTCAGAAGACAGGGAGGCTGCAGCAGGGGGCTGATCTGTGTCAAAGTCTGGAGAAAGGCTTGCACAGAGATTGGGGGTTCACACAGCAAATAATTGTATAAATAGCACATCAAATCTGACATCATTTTCAGGTATGAATCCGGCCGGCAGGGAACGCCCCTGAGGTGCTGCCAGCAATCTGTACTAGAAAATGTTCCCTGGCGATGCTTAGCGCTGCTCGTATGGCATCAATAGAGACCGGTGACATCACTAGAGACCGGTGACATCACTAGAGACCGGTGGCATCAATAGAGACCGGTGACATCACTAGAGACCGGTGACATCACTAGAGACCGGTGACATCACTTAGAGACCGGTGACATCACTAGAGACCGGTGACATCACTAGAGACCGGTGACATCACTGAGGATGGAGTGTAAGCTCCTCTGGTGCAGGCTGCAATACGATGTAATGGAGTCGTATATTGGGTGTGATTAGTAGAGATGCTGCGTACACCCGGCACTCTATGTCCCGGTCACAGGAGAAGGTTGGGGGTCTTACCTGTACTGAGCGTTGTTAATGAGCCCCCTCAGGGCGCTGGGCAGGCTGGAGCTCTTCCCCTGCAGGGTGGTCGGAGCCGAGGGCACGGCGGGCACTTTGGCCATAATGAAAGGAACCGGAGGGGACCCCGAGCAACGCGCGAGATACAATGTACCATAGACGCTGCAACCCAGATCTGCCAATTACAGGGTGACGAATCCCCCAACTGTCACCCCTCAATCTCAGTCCTGTCCCGGCCTATCACCCCTCAATCTAAGCCCTGCCCCGGCCTATCACCCCTCAATCTCAGCCCCTGTCCCTGCCTATCACCCCTCAATCTCAGCCCTGCCCCGGCCTATCACCCCTCAATCTCAGCCCTGCCCCGGCCTATCACCCCTCAATCTCAGCCCTGCCCCGGCCTATCACCCCCCAATCTCAGCCCTGCCCCGGCCTATCACCCCCCAATCTCAGCCCTGTCCCGGCCTATCACCCCTCAATCTCAGCCCTGCCCCGGCCTATCACCCCTCAATCTCAGCCCTGTCCCGGCCTATCACCCCTCAATCTCAGCCCTGTCCCGGCCTATCACCCCTCAATCTCAGCCCTGTCCCGGCCTATCACCCCTCAATCTCAGCCCTGTCCCGGCCTATCACCCCTCAATCTCAGCCCTGCCCCGGCCTATCACCCCTCAATCTCAGCCCTGTCCCGGTCTATCACCCCTCAATCTCAGCCCTGTCCCGGCCTATCACCCCTCAATCTCAGCCCTGTCCCGGCCTATCACCCCTCAATCTCAGCCCTGTCCCGGCCTATCACCCCTCAATCTCAGCCCTGTCCCGGCCTATCACCCCTCAATCTCAGCCCTGTCCCGGCCTATCACCCCTCAATCTCAGCCCTGTCCCGGCCTATCACCCCTCAATCTCAGCCCTGTCCCGGCCTATCACCCCTCAATCTCAGCCCTGTCCCGGCCTATCACCCCTCAATCTCAGCCCTGTCCCGGCCTATCACCCCTCAATCTCAGCCCTGTCCCGGCCTATCACCCCTCAATCTCAGCCCTGTCCCGGCCTATCACCCCTCAATCTCAGCCCTGTCCCGGCCTATCACCCCTCAATCTCAGCCCTGTCCCGGCCTATCACCCCTCAATCTCAGCCCTGTCCCGGCCTATCACCCCTCAATCTCAGCCCTGTCCCGGCCTATCACCCCTCAATCTCAGCCCTGTCCCGGCCTATCACCCCTCAATCTCAGCCCTGTCCCGGCCTATCACCCCTCAATCTCAGCCCTGTCCCGGCCTATCACCCCTCAATCTCAGCCCTGTCCCGGCCTATCACCCCTCAATCTCAGCCCTGTCCCGGCCTATCACCCCTCAATCTCAGCCCTGTCCCGGCCTATCACCCCTCAATCTCAGCCCTGTCCCGGCCTATCACCCCTCAATCTCAGCCCTGTCCCGGCCTATCACCCCTCAATCTCAGCCCTGTCCCGGCCTATCACCCCTCAATCTCAGCCCTGTCCCGGCCTATCACCCCTCAATCTCAGCCCTGTCCCGGCCTATCACCCCTCAATCTCAGCCCTGTCCCGGCCTATCACCCCTCAATCTCAGCCCTGTCCCGGCCTATCACCCCTCAATCTCAGCCCTGTCCCGGCCTATCACCCCTCAATCTCAGCCCTGTCCCGGCCTATCACCCCTCAATCTCAGCCCTGTCCCGGCCTATCACCCCTCAATCTCAGCCCTGTCCCGGCCTATCACCCCTCAATCTCAGCCCTGTCCCGGCCTATCACCCCTCAATCTCAGCCCTGTCCCGGCCTATCACCCCTCAATCTCAGCCCTGTCCCGGCCTATCACCCCTCAATCTCAGCCCTGTCCCGGCCTATCACCCCTCAATCTCAGCCCTGTCCCGGCCTATCACCCCTCAATCTCAGCCCTGTCCCGGCCTATCACCCCTCAATCTCAGCCCTGTCCCGGCCTATCACCCCTCAATCTCAGCCCTGTCCCGGCCTATCACCCCTCAATCTCAGCCCTGTCCCGGCCTATCACCCCTCAATCTCAGCCCTGTCCCGGCCTATCACCCCTCAATCTCAGCCCTGTCCCGGCCTATCACCCCTCAATCTCAGCCCTGTCCCGGCCTATCACCCCTCAATCTCAGCCCTGTCCCGGCCTATCACCCCTCAATCTCAGCCCTGTCCCGGCCTATCACCCCTCAATCTCAGCCCTGTCCCGGCCTATCACCCCTCAATCTCAGCCCTGTCCCGGCCTATCACCCCTCAATCTCAGCCCTGTCCCGGCCTATCACCCCTCAATCTCAGCCCTGTCCCGGCCTATCACCCCTCAATCTCAGCCCTGCCCCGGCCTATCACCCCTCAATCTCAGCCCCTGTCCCTGCCTATCACCCCTCAATCTCAGCCCTGCCCCGGCCTATCACCCCTCAATCCCAGCCCTTATCCCCGTCTCTGGCCCCTCGCTCTCAGGCCTAGCTCCCAGCTCCACTCCTGACTTTCCTGGCAGCCTCGGAGTCCATCCTTCAGGAAATTCCTGTCTGGGAAGCGGGTGGATGACAATCCTCCACATAAACCATTAACATGCCGTGCGGCCTCCTCCCAGCCCCCGCTCCCTCTCCGTACGGCCTCCTATTTCCCCAGAAACTTGGCTCCCAGCCTGAGGGCCACAGTGCTGCCGGCCGGACAACCCTCATCATCCGGGGTGCAGGATGGCGGCCGGAGCTCCAAGAAAAGGCCGAGGCAAACCTTGCTGGGCCTTGTAGTTCCCCCGCAGCTGGAGATCTTCCGATCTATGACGACACAGAACAACTCCAACTTTCTCTCATGGAGCCTTTCCGGGGTTCACCGGCTGCGATTGGTGAATGTTCGGTGAATCTGGTCCGATCTTCTGTGGATTTTGGATTATTTCGTTATTATAAGTTCCTTGTGTATATCAAAGTTTATCATGAACACTCGAGTTACATTTCCCCCCCTCCGAGCACCGAAAAATACTCGCCGATCACTTCCTGTTGCAAGGTGACAACACACAGCATTTGTGTGGACTGAGCGGTGTCAGCCCTGCCACGTTTTCTTTTGCAAAACTATCCCCCCCCCCACCCCCACATTCCCCA